GGTCACTCGTTGAGAGGCGGCGGCTTCACACAATCGGACGCGCAGAGCGCGCGTCAGGTGATAGATGACATATGCTGACATTAGCCTCGGGCATGCGTGCAGAGAAGAAGAAAGGCGACCGGATGCTGGGGCGCGTCAGGTCGTCATTGACCTGACGTGTCCGGTCAATAAAAAATCGCTCTGGAACCTTAGTGTAAATGACCGGACTCTCCTTGTTGGGGCATCAGGTCATTTCAGCAGTGGGTCCGGTCCTAACTTAATTGTTCGTGCTATCGAGAGCTAGCCGTTGGAGATGAACGAACTAGGTTTAAACGCGTGACATGTGGCGGCAGATCGTCGACCGGACGCTGGCGCGTTCGGTCAGTACGCAGGGCACCCCTCTTTGGCTCTAACGGTTCTATTCTTTTAAGGACATCTATAATAGTGTTTGGCCGGCTTGGGGCTCATACTCTTGGCACTTTGACATACTTGACATCCTTATGAGCCTAAGCAAACACCTCCCATTCATCTCCATTATTGATTCATCATCATAATGAGATTGGGAGTAATTCCTAGTGCATTTGCTTGAGTGATTTCATCTAGTGGCACTTGGGGATCGTTGGAGCTGTGGATTTCTTGTTACTCTTGGTGGTTGCCACCACTTAGACGGTTTGGAGCAGCGGAGGAGGATTGGCACGAGTTGGTGATTGTTCGTGGCCATCTCCCGGTGGTTGTGAGGGGTCTTGTGCCATCCCCGGCGGAGCGCCGAATGGTAACTCAAGTGGATTGCTCGTGTCATGAGTTACCTCATATGTGGGTAGGTTCTTGCGGTGTCTAATTGTGTGGACGAGGTTCGCGCAACACCTCTTAGCCGTCGAACCACCAAGTGTTGGTCGGCACAACAGGGACTAGCGTGCCGGCAAGCACGTGAACCTCAGAATAAAAATTGGTTGTCTCTTGCCTTTTGGTATTCTCCCGGTGATTGAATTGGTATTCATCTTATAATTGGTTCACTTCTCTACGTTGCGGTATAATCACCCAACTCACTCATTTGCATTCCCGCAAACTAGTTGTAGCAAGATCTTTAGTGTAGCTAGAATTGAAAGCTTGCTTTGTAGCTTAAGATCATCTAGTGGAGCTCTTTAGTGTAGCAAGTGTGAGAGCTCTTAGTGAGTAGTGACTTAGCCAGTTGTGTGCCTAGTGATTATAGTAACTAGAATTATTGGATATGTGACTTGCAACCCTTGTAGAGCTAGAGCAAGTTTGTATTTCGCTATTTGTCATACTAATCAAATTGCTCTAGTGATCTTGTAGAAATTATTCACCCCCTCTAGCCATATTAGAACCTTTCACCGAGGCGAGTAACTTAAGAGGCACATGGAGAGGTTTAGAAATTAACCATATGCCATTGAAGTGACCCACCAGGCATCTGGTGCAGCTTTGAATGGCCAAAGCTGGGATTGTGCAAGAGAACCGTCATGAATCCTATCCGTCCGAGGTGTCACCCAGGTAGCATCCACCTCACTTTTTAATTTACTGGTAGGTATGTTGGCTATATTCATTGCTAGGGCTAAAGAGGATGGCCAAAATCAAGGACTAATTCCACATCTAGTAGATGATACAATCCTTTTCACGGAACAATGACATTGAATAGGTAAAAACTATGAAAACTCTTTTGTCTCTTTTGTGTGTGAAAACTCTTTTGTGTGCCTTCGAACAGCTTCTTAGATTGAAAATTAACTTCCACAAAAGTGAATTGTTTTGCTATGGGGAAGCAAATGACTTTGTTGACCAATATACTTACAGATCTTTGGATATGGAACATGTCATTATCCTTTAAAATATTTTATAGATTAAATAAAAATATTTAAACCACTTTAATTTAGTGTGTAACTACGTATACAATATAGATTTCAAAACTAGAGTTATGCCAAACGGTCCAGACACAATCAAACTCATCATCATTTTGACCTCCCTTCAGCAACAAACATCACACACATATCATCTCATGGACCGAATTTACAAAGTCCCAAGTTGATCCTATGGATCGAGCATCAAGCACACATTATATATTCATCTTAGAAATAAACCTAAGCCCCAACTAGGTCTCACAAAATCAAACGAACATGCAACCGAACATTCACCTAAAAATCAAGAAAATTCAAGATCAATCAAATCCGTCGCAAAATCTCCGCTGCATCTCTGCTCTGTTCTTCATCTACGGACTAGGGTTCCGAGGCTCGCCCAGGTGAGGGAGAGAGGCAGAGAGCAGATGGGGCTCACCAATCCGAGATTGGGCCAGGCCCAATCGACAATGTAAGCCGCTGGGCTTAGAAGCCCACTTCTATTCACTGTTCTTACTATACATACGTTACGAAGTATGCTTAGTATTACTACTGGGGTATCTAGTCTAGTAGTCATCTAATCTAAGTATAATCAGCAACCGCGAATCGCCGCACACTTTTTATCTGCATCCGCCATCCGGTCTAGAATATCACTTGACTGACGCGGCCAATTGCGTCACCCAGACGGCAACAACGCCTTTGGATTCGTCCTCACTTTACCACTCCGCGTCATGCATTCTAGTTCTACTAGGCGAATGAAGCGAGCAGTTTTTTACTCTTCCAAGTCAAGTATGGTAAACCAGCTCATCATCAGGCAGAAGTGATTTTGCTTGCGACAGGTAATTAGGAGTATATAAGCGCGGTAGCAGGGACGTGGCGTCTCGAAGGAATCAGCCGCCGTCCAGACACGAACGAAGAACCTACTTATCGGATAGCTAAGCGTCTTCTTCTCCGGTCCTGAACAAGGGAAACGAGGACAAGGACGTCGATCGGAGGCGGAAACTAGACGCGCTGGGCGCCAAGGGCCAAGGCCGGCCAGTCGGCGTCTCGATCTCGACCGCTTCCGCTTCCGCTTTGGGGCCTCCGATGCGCAGGTGCATGCATCAGCAGGTGGTATTTGGGGCCTCCGGTGCGCAGGTGCATGCATGCAGCAGGTACTTGATGACGTGTTCCCGGTCCGGATCGAGCGCGACGTCGTCGGTCGTGATGAGGAGAGACACGCCGCGCCATCGATCGACCTGGATCGGAGGCAGGAGTAGCCTATAGGATAGGTAGGCCGTACGCAAGCACCTACGTACGGAGGGACGGGGATGATCCATGTCGAGCCGAATCGCTGGGGACTGGGGATGCTTACAATGCGACGTCGCATTGGCAATTTGGCATCGGCTAGTTGGCTCATTCTAGGGGTACTAGATGATAAGGTATTTTAAGTACTAGTGCTTGATCGTACATGGCGGCAGCTATATTTTAGCTTTTTGGCCGGCGAAAGCGCGTCCCGATCCCGCGAGCGGAGCGACCGGAACGAGATATCTTTTGGCCTGTTAAGTCCGACTTTTTCAGGGCACCGATAATATTTTTCTCTCGTAATAAATCAGTAAATAGTACTTTCAACTATTTATTCGTCGAAGGAACAGGGCCTTTGTCCGTCCCGTACGTACGTCTGTTCATAGATGGACCATGTGTAGTAACACCAGTGCTCGAATATCTGCTAGCATTAGATTGGATCAGATAGAAATGCCGGGCGGCCCTGCATGCGAATCTATCGTCCGCCGTGCGTGCGTCCGGTACGCCAATGCAAGCACGGACGGACGTGCACTGGCCTGCGTCGTCTCACGTACGCGCACGGTGCGCGTGGTGCCCGGCCGGATTCTCCGCGACCGAATGACCGATCGAGAGGCAGCGTGCGGTTACGTTGTCCTGTGTGTCATGTGCGTGCGGGCGGGCGAAATTCCCACACGGCCACACGGCATGCATCCATCTAGCTACGCGCGGGTGAAATTGCCACGCGCCGGCCGGCCCGCCCGCCGGGACTCATCTATCTACGTGCCAACTCGATCCGGCCCGGTCAAAATAAAGGCCATCACGAACCATGCTTGCTGCTTGCTTCTCGTTCATTCTCGCCTCGGCACTAGCCAGTAGCGACGATTTGTTAGTACTGTCTAAGTGACCTGTGACCCAGAGTGGATCAATCGCCGCGTTTTTTTTTTGGCAGATAGAATTAATAGATCGGAACGACGACCAATTTGGAACTTACTGAGAAGGATGGAGCTGCAGATGCATGGTGCGTGCGTGTCGCGTACAAGAGGCCGGTGCGAGGAAATTGGTCAGGATATGATGTTGATACTGCCGTGATGACCCAGCTGCTGGTGGATCAGTGCTTCTGCAAGTGAGTGGAAACCTGCACGTAATTGCCTCCTGGTCGACAAATGATCCCGCCAAATCTCAGCGCCGCTGGACAACGAACTTCCGATACATTGCCTCCTGACTAGACTACTGCCATACCTGCTTAGTATGTACCGCAGTAAGTATACTTTTACGTACATTGTTATAATATTATTACTAGTATGGTAGTAGTCTAGTCACGCAGACATCGACATGTTCAAGAACGAATGACGTGGAATGCCAATAAGCTTGCACGATACGTAGTACGAACGAACATGATAGGAAAACGCAGTCAGGTACACTCAGATGTGCAACTGTAGCTGATATTTCGTTGGCAATTTCGGTCACCGCAAAAAGAACAAAACGAGGAATTCATTTTCGGCGTCACGGCTGAGGTTACTGAATCTGTTATTACATCTTGTATTATTATGTTACCGATGTACTAGCTGGAGCTGGGCCAACCATCCGTGCGTTTCCACGGAATCTTCCCCTCGGTCGCATCGGTCAACCATAATTTTTGCTCTGAAACCAATCGAATTCGATCAAAAAACACATAAAAAACTTAAAACCTTTCAAAACATAACGGCTTCCCCAAGAGAAAAACACAGAGACCGGGGGTATATAAATACAAGCCAGCCCGACGAAGCAAGGCCCCCCAGGGGGGCAGCAGCTACTGATCTGCTTGGCCTGCAGTAGCCTCCAAAGCAACCACATCCAAAAGCAGGCACTGTCAGCAGCGACGAGGCAGCGGACGCCAGCCGCGAGCGGAGCAGGGGAGGGATTGAGGGAAAGGGAATGGAGGAGGAGCAGGTGAGGGAGACGACGATGACGCCGGTGGTCCTCAGGCTGTTCGGCGTGGATGTCCGCCGGGGCGACGGCTGGGAACCGGAGGAGTTGCCGATGGACCTCAAGAAAAGCTCCAGCATGCCCAACCTCATCATCCACCAGCCTCTGCTGCCGCCGGGGGAGGCCGGAGACGTCAAGGGGTACGCCTCAGACGACGCGGAGCTGGCGTCCGGCCAGCAGAAGCGCCGCCGCCGCAAGGCCCAGGAGAGGAAGAAAGGTTAGCTCTTTTTTTCCCTTCTCTCCTTCTCTCGGTCTCCCGGATTCGATCGATCAATCGCTTTCTTTACTCCTCTTCTTGTCGAGGACCATAATCCCAGAATGGATGGATTCCAACGAAAAATGTTGTCCTTAATTGGATTCAGAAATCAACCAGTAAACATTCGTTCTGGCCTTCATATAACACACACCGGAAGTACTGTATCTACGTGCGAGTCAACGCCAGCTCTTGCAATCCAGAAATATATACTTATCACTGTGGATTGAAATTGATCCGGTGTGTATGTATTGTTTGGTTGGTGAAATCGGTGCAGGAATTCCATGGACCGAGGAGGAGCACAGGAAATTCCTGGACGGACTAAGGAATCTGGGCAAGGGGGACTGGAGGGGCATCTCCAAGGGCTTCGTCACCACCAGGACGGCGACGCAGGTGGCCAGCCACGCCCAGAAGTACTTCCTCCGGCAGACCAACCCCGGCAAGAAGAAGCGCCGGGCGAGCCTCTTCGACGTCGGCATCGCTGACTACAACTACAACGACGATCAGGTGAGCACTCTGATATATACAGTAATGATTCAACTAGCTGGTCAGATAGATCTTGGAGCCGATAACGCTAATCAATCCTCTTTCTCCCTTTTTGTTTCAAATTGCAGGTGCCAAGCCCTCAGAGAAGCATTGTTACCAAGCCGGCTCCTACGCAGGAAATAATTCATACCGACCGTGGCGATGTACCCTTTAGAGGCTTCGGGGAGATTTTAGGCAATAACATGCAGGTAATCATATTAATATCCCCTTTATTACACTGGTAAGGACTAAGGATATTATCTTCATATATAGTAGGATCTAGGATTACTTGCGAGTCATGTGTAACCTTAAAACTCCACTTATGCTTAATGAAATACGTGCCTTAGGTACGATCGCGAAAAAAAGAAAAAAAATGTATAGTAGGAGTAGGAGTAAACGTTACAGTCTGAGCATGCAAAACTTGTTATATACTGTGGATCATCTAGCAGTCGGTCTAGAGGGTAGAACTCATAGAACCATGAAACACATGCACATTTAGACCTAGAACACTACACCGAGAGGGAGATAGGGAGAGAGGACTGGTGATGAACCCGAGCCTCCAGATGATGTCGCGGGTTGTGCCCGACCATCGCGGGTTCGGTGATGGAGGCAAGACCGGCAGGCGGCGACTGACGGGTGGAGTAGAGGTTGCACCAGACGTCGATGCAGTGCGGTCAAGCGAGTGAGTGATGGCGACGGCGAGGATCAGTGGAGCTTCCGTCAATTGCGCGCCTCTCGAGATCGGTTTAGGGTTTTGTCGGTGATCCTCACGGTGAACCTCGTACTTTGAGCCGCCGCCCCACCCTCTTTATATAGCAGTGAGCGCGACGGGGCCCACCAACCAGGGTTAGGCGCCCCGAAGCGCCCCGATCAAGGCGGCGAGACCAAGGCCCAATAGGCCGTTGGGCTTATTGGTCGAGATCAATCTAACATTCTCCCCTTGATCTCACTATTACTTTTATCTTTAAACTTTAAAATTCAATCCTTTTATCCTTACTCATTTCTTCACAGATGATGCATAGAGCATGTCTCATCATCACGGTCAATCGCCGATAGCTACAATACGCGTCTCGATCTGAAATAGTTACTTTAACTTTTGGGCCCTTTATAGTCCCAGAATCATAGGCTTTCCCTTAAACCCAGCTACATGTTCTCTCGAACACGTTGGGCGGTAAGCCTTTTGTAAGCGGATCCATGAGCATCTTTTTCGGTACTTATATGCTCAAGACTTATCATTTGATCCCGGACTTTATCCTTCACAACATAATACTTTATGTCAATGTGTTTTGGCGACACCACTTGACCTATTGTTGTGAGCATCGATCGCTGGATTATTATCGCAAGATAACCTCAATGGTCTATTGATGTCGTCAACCACCTTCAAACCGGGTATGAACTTCTTTAGCGTTCACACCGCCCGTTGTTCAGAATACGCTACAAACTCGGCATACATTGTGGACGATGTAGTGACGGTTTGCTTTGAGCTTTTCCATGAAATAGCTCCCCCTGCGAGAGTGAACACATATCCAGACGTGGATTTTCTATTATCTCCCGTGATAATCGTAATCTGAATATCCCACTATATGATCTTCTATATGTCATCATGAGGCCTTTCGTTCCTTGCAAATAAAAGACTTTCTTTACCAATTTCAGTGTTCTATTCGTGATTGCGAATCGCCAAGTAAAGTAACAAATGCCAAGTCGGTAGCGTACACACTTGAGCATATTGCAAGCTTCCGGCAATTTGAAGCATATGGAACCACTTTCATTTGATCGATCTCATATTGGTTCCGGGCATTGAAAATCCCCATATCTCGCCCCTTGACTATAGGAGCGGTGAGGGACTACATTTGTGCATCTTGAATTTCTTTAAGACTTTTTCTATGTATGCCTTTGTGACAAAGTCCTAATACCCTTTTTTTTATCTCGGTGAATCTCGATCCCTAGAACGAACGTAAGCTTCACCAAGATCTTTCATATCAAACTTTGAGGACAAAAAACTTCTTTTGAGTAGGTGACATCACTACTAGCAAGTAAGATATCATCCACATACGTAACAAGGAAGATAAACTTCCCATTCTTAAACTTTCGAGACACAATTGTCCTCAACATTATCTTTAAACCCAAAATTCTTTATTAATTCGATCAAACTTCAAGTACCAATTGTCTTGAAGCTTGTTTTAATCCATAAATGGATTTTCTTAGGCGCTGCATCCCAAACGTTCTTTTCCTTCTATGACAAAACCTTTTGGTTGTGCCATATAAACATTTTCTTCTAAGTCTCCGTTGAGAAATGCCGTCTTTACATCCATCTGATGTAATTCCAAATCGTAATGTGCCACTAATGCCATTATGATTACGAAGGAATCCTTACACGAGACCGGAGAAAAGTCTCATTGTAATCAATCCTTCTCTTTGTGTAAAGCCTTTTGCCACAAGTCGGGCTTTATATCTTTCTATATTCCCTTGAGAGTCAAGTTTTGTTTTGTAGACCCATTTACAGCCTACTGTTTTGGCTCCTTTAGGAATTATCTCCAAATCCCAAACTTTATTTGCATTCATTGATCTCATCTCATCTTCCATGGCCTCAAGCCACTTTGATGAATGATCACTTTTCATGGCTTCTTCAAATGAGGTGGGATCATCCCCATTTGAAATTCAGATGTTGTACACTTCATAATCCAGAAATAGCTGATTTTCTAACTCTTTGAGACCTTCTAGGGCCTCCTCAATTGGCACATTTGTCATTTGAGGTGTTGTTGCTCCCCCTCATGTGTGGCAATAGGTTCTATAGGATCCCGAGCCACGGGTTCCTCATCATCATTCATTGTTGCCACAAAGGGATAACAACAGTCTTTGGCACCACGTTGTCTTGTCTTGTTGGTGCAAAGAAGCAGCAGTAGTGAGAAAAATGGCTCATGAATGATCGGGAGTGGGTGCATACACCCGCTTCTCTTCAAGGTCAATTTCTCGAGCTACCATGCTCCCCTAATCATTTCATCCTCTAGGAAGACAAGATGTCTCGCTTCCACAAACTTTGTGTATGCTGTTAGAAAAAAGAGAAACGAAAACCTTTTGACTTTTTACGGGTAGCCAATGAAATGGCAACCACCAACATTTTGGGATCTAGCTTCCCAATGTTTGGGTTAAAAACTTTAGCCTCAGTAGGGCTCCCCCCACAACGCAAGTGGTTAAGTGATGGTACTCTTCCCGTCCACAACTCATACGGTGTTTTGGGCACCGACTTACTTGGTACTCTATTGAGAATATGAATGGCGGTTTTAACGCCTCCATCCACAGACTCGTGGGTAAAGTGGAGTAACTTATCATACTACGCACCATATCCATCAAGGAGTGCACGCCTTTCAGCTACTCCATTCTCACGAGGTTCGCCGGCGTTGAATCTTCGGGCGACTATACCATTCTCCTGTAAGAACCTTGCAAAAGGAGAACTTGTCCATATGGGGTATGCCGACCCGTAGTACTCTCCTCCAGACGACTATCTTAATCTTTAAATCATGCGCTTTAAATATTTTAAATTTATCCAACGCTTCGTTCTTTCTTTAATTGGATAAATGTAGCCAAACCGAGAGAGAGTAATCGTCTGTGAATGTTATGAATGAATCATAACCATCCACACTTTTCAGGAGAAAAGGACCACATATGTCCGTGTGAATAAAGAATTCCTACGCCTCGTTTGGCATCTTTCTTAATTTTCTTTACATACTTTCCTTTTATGCAATCTCTACATTGTTCTAACTCGAGAGCTCTAATGGAGGAAGAATATCATTCTTAACTAGTCTTTCTATTCTCCCCCTCGAAATATGGCCTAAACGACAGTGCCATAATTTCGACAACGCATCTTGAGCTCTCTTTCGTTTTCTGTTTCCATTGTTCGATGAGGATACATTTTCATTCACATCACAGAATGGAATTAACATTTTCAATAAGTGATAACAAATAAAGCTCGTCTTGTCGGAAGGCAAGACCAATACATTTATTATTAAACAATATCTGACATTTGCCATTTCCAAAATGGCAATCATAACCATCATGGTCCAACTTTGAAACACTAATCAAATTTCTTTGCAAAGAAGGTACATAAAGAACATCTCTAAGAATAATTATGAAGCCATCAAAGAAGCTCTAACGGAAGATCACCAACGGCCTCAACATCCGCTTGTTCTCCATTTGCTACTTTAATGAAACTTTTCGCTTCTTTGCAAAGTTCTCATCGAACGGAATCCTCAGTAATGAATTAGCAACATGAATAGTTGCACTGAATCAATCCACCAAGTAGATTTTGAAAACTTTACATACAAGGATTCATTTACTGAACGTAATAATGTTCTCACCTTTATTCTTCATAATCATCTTTAAGAAATCGGGACAATTCTTTTTATAATGCCCTGTCTTCTTGCAAATGGAGACATTTGGTCTTTAGCCACCGGGAAATTGGTTACGAGACTGTTGCATGGGACCTTTTCCAGATGATTTGGAGGAAGAACTATTATTATAGTTCTTTTTCTTATCTTTTAGGTAGTTGATGAACCACCTTGTGAAACTTTTATTCTTTCCTCCTCCCGCACACACATGGCTATGAGCTTTTCCAAATCCCATTTTTTCAGTCAGTGTATGTTGTAATTAACAACAAATGTGTCAAATTCTTTGGGCAAAGAAGCAAAATCAAATGAATAAGAAACTCATCCTTGAGTGCCAAATCCATTGGTTTGAGCTTAGATGCCGATTGCTCATTCTCAAGATGTGCTCTCTAATGCCACGCCGCCGCCACAGTACCTTTTTTTGACCCGTGACCACCGATTGATTTGGGTTGCATATGTCTTTGAAGAGCCAAATTGAAGCCTGACTCTTTATTCGTCTAGGTACTCTCTGTGACCGTGTCACGATCTGGAATTGAGCCCACTATAGCAGAGCTCAATCGTGTTTTTATCAACGCCAGACACTTCTTGTTGGCAAGTGACCCATTTCCTATGCTCAAGGTCATAGGACATTTTACGGAGCAAAATCCCGCTCTCTGCATTAGAGCCTCAGTCTGCTTCCCTCACGGTGCCTCGGGTTCTTTAGGCACGGTGTGGTGACAACCCATCAACCTCGGCGAGGATAAAGGCCAGTCTATCTTTTCTTCCACTCAATATAGTTATCACCTTTTAGAGTGGGGATTTCTTTGATACAACTCATCAAGTTGTATCCTCCCCGAAAACATAATTGAATAGGTGAGAGAGCAGAAATAACAACAATAATTGCATGCCTTAGTTTAACGTTGGTCAAAATTAAAACATACAATTATTTTCTACACTAATTCTACATCACCGCTTGGTGAAATAGAATTAATGTATAACAAAAAACATTATAATATTTTCATTAGTCAACGTTGGTCGTAATAACAACAACATTATAATCAATTTAAAACATATCCATTTTCAAAATTAAATTCTCCCGCTGGTTGAATTTAATAACGAAAATTACAACTTTAAATACGCAATGAAACTTTAGCATTTAATAATCTTTTTCCTATTTTCCGAAGCAAATTTATCACATTGAACAAAAATATCGTTGGATAAATTTTTATGCAGAAAATTATCATAAAAATCAATTCAAATCGATCAAACTGCTTTTACGGAAAATAAGAAAAAACAAAAAGCTGTTACTTTTATTGTTTACTTGGCCATTTCGTCCAAACCAAAGACACGCTGCTGCCCCACCAAAATTCGGCCCATGGCCTTTTTCACAATGCCACAGGCCAAAGACACCGGCCCAGTGGGCAGGTGATGCCAAGGCTCAGCGGCTCCTCGCGCCCAAAGCGCAACACTGGCTCGGGCCGGATTGCCTTGTGCCCTATCCCGCCTGGTCAGCTTGATCGCCGCCGTGGGTCCCATCTCCATCCGACGGTTGCCCACGCGTGCCGCGAGATCAAAACCCAATGACCGTGGCGCGCCCTTGACCTAGCATCATTCGGCTTCGCTCTCTCTCTCTCTTCGCCCCTCTCTCCTCTCCACTCAGTCCCGCCGCAGCAGAAACCGAGCGAGGAGCTTCGACGGCGAGAGAGCTCAGCAAGCCCGTTGCGTTCTCTCGGCCCCCCTCGCCGGCGTGGCGCTCCCAGTGGGTGAACGCGCGCCGCCGAGCGGCCCGGTCTGGGCGCGCCCTAGTGGCTGCTTCCGTGAGCAGATCACCCCGGCCGACCCTTTCTTTTCCCCGCGCGGCGGCATGCACGACGGTGAGGTGAGCCGTGCCGAGCCACCCTCTTTCTTTTCTTTCCCCTTTCTATTTCTTTGATTCGGATTTGGCTCGATTTTCAGATTAGGGTTAGGGTTTGCTTTTCCGATTTGAAATCGGTTCTTTTCCCTTCTCACCAATCACCGAGCGGGTTAGGGAATGGGTTGGAGACGGCATCGCTTTTCTTTTTCCCGAATCACCTTCGGGTTTTAGGGTTCGTTCTTTGCATGAAAACCGAGCCGTTCTTTTTCTCGAGATCCGACGGATCGAGTTAGGGTTCAACCGAACGTCGGGTGACCTTTTTCTCGCTTAGATCCACAATGGATCTAATCAGCTTTTCTTTTTCTAATCGGTACCCGTTCTAGATCTACATGCTAGTAGGCTTTGATACCATTGTTATATACTGTGGATCATCTTATCGGTCTAGAGGGTAGAACTCATAGAACCATGAAACACATGCACATTTAGACCTAGAACACTACACATGCCAACCATCGCGGGTTCGGTGATGGAGGCAAGACACGGGCAGCAATGACGGGTGGAGTAGAGGTTACGGACGTCGATGCAAAGGCGGTCTTGGCGAAAATAGGATGGCGACGGCGAGGATCGGTGGAGCTTCCGTCATTGGTCGCGCGCCCTCTCGAGATCGGTTTAGGGTTTTGTCGGTGGGTTTGTTGCTCACGGTGAACCTCGTGACTTTGAGCCGCATGCCCCACCTCTTTATATAGCCGGAGGCGACAGGCCCACCAACCATGTAGGGTTGATATGGCGAGACCAAGGCCCAATAGGCCGTTGGGCTTATTGGTCAGGAGATCAATCTAACAAAACTGACAAGTGAACACCTGATTCTTCTTCCGGCAGGTTAATCAACTAACTGATTATTACTACTTCAAGAAGGATCCAAATGTTCACTTGGAGACATCGCTCTCCATGGCCTCCGGCCTGGAAACAGCCTCATCCACCACCAACCTGAACCTCAGCATCATCGCCGTCAACAGTCTGGAGCTCAGCATCGCGCCCCCTGCTCGGTGCGGCTGCGGTGGCCCGGCAGGGGCCATCAAAGTCCTGTGACTTTGGGACGCCGAGCTACTTGCATTGGCTCGACTCCTGCGAGCGAGCCTGCGTTCAGTATCACCTCGTCAGGCTGCCGCAGCCAGTTTCATTCGGTCTTGCTCGTGGTGTTGTTGTCTTTGTCATGCTAATTTTGTGTTGTTCGTCGATGTCGTGCTGGTTTTCTGTAGTTCCGTGTGGTACTATACTCCTAGCAGCTGTAGTAGCCGTGGTGGTGCAGAAGGAATGTTTGTGAAATGCATGCTTAAGTTTTGGCTGCTTCGTTTCGATCGTTGGTACAAGCTGTTGCGCGGAAATCGGATTGACTACTAGTCGATACTAGTTTGTACTGTACTACTATAGTCCTATGTGCTGTTACAGTATGTGAAATGAAATGAAGGGAGGGGAATCAGCCGGGATTAGCCGATTGGGTTGGGGGTTGATGGGTCCCTGTCTCCTTCCAAGTGGGTTCGTTTCTTGTTCCAATCCGAGGAGGCAGCGAGGGCAAGGCGTCGTGTGGCTCTGAGCTCCCGAAGCCCCAACCCAATAATCGTGCCATCCCGTCGTTGGTCGATGTGTGTGACAGCATGGTAAACAAAGGCCAAGGCAGTTCACAGTCACGCCCTTGCCGTCCAAAACCAAACCACCAACCAACCAATCCTTGTAATGGCATAGAGAAAGAGAGGCGGCTGCACTGTAGATCGTAGAACTGTTCCGTTTGCGGCTGGGCGGCTGGATATGTTCATCGGCTTCTGATCATGCTGGTCACACACATGCAGAGTATCGTTCGCTTTTTGCATATTGCACAGTTACAAAGACTGCGATCCATGCATGTGCCGACGATGAGGATAGATACATAAAGATAACACCTACTAGATGCGGAGATGAGATGATATGCCGCTCTGAAAGCAAGCACAGTCTGTCCACAAGAGACAGGTAAAGATGAACAAGGAAGGGTGAGGTCGAATCTGGAACGGGATATGTGGATCTCGCCAGGGATATGTGGTCCGTCCACGCACGAGCACGAGGGAGAGGGGCAGAGCAGAGAACGGCGGGCGAGAGGCGGGCGGCGCCATCAGCGGCCCATCACCATCGTGCGCGCAATGCGGACGTGGCCACGGCCCGCCCCGCACCGGGCCGGCGGGACCCATCGAGGTGGCTTTTGCCGCCGCTGTTTTGCTCCCGCGACCGCTTCACCGTCCGTCGACGTTGTACCGGCGGCAGTGGTTGAGGGCCCCGAATTTTTTTTTCGGCTTTTTTTTAAAATATTCACAAATACACATACGATGGTTCGATTTTCGTTTATGGACCCTGATCTTGGCGCTATGGCTTTTAATGTCTAGGAAACATGTCTCGGTGCCATGGCCAATGGCGCCGAGGTCTTGGCGAGGTGTCGTACATGGCGGTGACCTGACGCCGACGTGAACAAGGCCTCGGCGCCATAGATCTTGGCGCCGAGCTATTACCCTATAGCTCTTGGCGTTTAAAATGAAATAAGTATGTTCCGAAGAACATGCAAAATGCCAATGCAGTTTAGCTGGTTAGGACGGTGCACGACTTAACTTAAAGGTCTAAGTTCAAACCCCAGCGCTGAATCTTTTTTTTTTTTGCTACATTTTTGTTAAGACTCAATAGTTGCCTCCGGATATGGTTTTTATATGTGTTTTATTGATACATAGTAAACTCAGGGTTTTTTTTTTTTGCTTGCATCTCTTTTTTTGCTTGCCCTCCTCTTTTAATTTTGGGCCGTAATCGAGTCACGATCTGTGTCGTCCTGCTTGTCAAAAAGCAGTTAGGGGCCGGAGCATACATACTGGGAACATGAATGCCTAACTCCAACGCTACTCTGATGATGAAATGAAACCACGCATCATCAGCTAGCGTGTTGTTCCGCCACTAACCTCTCCGGTCTCCCCTCGATCGATCGAGCACCCCCACCATTTTGCAGTGTCACGGCACGGGTCATCTCTCCAGAAATTATTTAAAGCTTGTACTCCTCAGCGAGTCTCAGACCTTGCGTGACGTGACGACGGTAGGCGTGTTCGGCTGATATTAAAGTCAGTGATAAGCTGGCTAAAGCTGATTTATCGTGAAAGAAAAATATTATAGATCGTAACTAATAAGACGGCTAATAACGAACAAGCTTGCCCCGGTCCCTCCCATTATTGATGTGTCACCGCCTCCCCGGACGAAGACGTCCCTAACAAACAAAACTCCGTGCGTACAGTAATCCGGATGAAGACGAAGAAACGGTGTCAAATCGATCAGTAGCTATCCAGTAATCCGGGAAGTCATCAGCTTCGAGCGTGGCTACTGTTGGTACACTGCTCGATCGATCGCCTCAGAGCAGCGAGTCATCAGTGGATATATAGATGGAGCTTGACACATCAACTACTCCCTCTTGCATTTGGTTGGTGGCATGAGCGGCGCCGGCTTAGTGGCTCATGGAAAATCTTGGTGCCGTGTCCACACACACCACATGGTGCCAGTGCCAGCACCAGCTTGTTCCTTTCGGCTTATACGATCGTGGATTATAAGCTGTAACAATATTTTTCTCTCACATCAAACCAGCCAGCAATACTTCTGACTTATAATCCACGATCGTTTCAGCCGGAAACGAATGGGCTTGCGTCGCGCGGCGGGAGATAAAACACAGATAAAAAACATATCCGGAGGCAACTATTCAGTGTCATTACAGGTAAAAAAAGCATCAAACATATAGTATGAGTCTTAACAAAAATGTAGCAAGGGTTCGAACCTAGGCCTTTGAGCTAAACCGCAATGTCGTTGTTGCATGTTCTTCCGAATAATTATACTTGTTTCATTTCAAACGCCAAGAGCTATAGGGTAACAGCTCGGCGCCAAGATCTATGGCGCCAAGGCCTTGTCCACGTCGGCGGTCACCGCCACGTCCGACGCCTCGCCGAGACCTCGGCGCCATTGATGTGTTTCCTCGGCGCCAAAAGCCATGGCGCCGAGGTCAAGGTTCATAAACGAAAATCAAACCACAATAAGTCTATTTGTGAATATTTTTGAAAAAAAGACCGAAAAATAAAAAATTCGGTAGAGGGCCTGGGCCCGGCCGGTGCCCCACCGGTGCGGCGGTGCTGCCTGCTGGTGGAGGGCCGACGACACACATGACACACCGTTAGCTTTAGGCTTTCAGCAAAAGGGAGGGAGGGGGTGGGGAATGGGGAACGGGGACTGGGGATCGATCGATAGAAAAATGGGCGCGAGGATCATGAGATAGCGCTCGCCGACCTTTCACCAGATTGGGAAGGCGATCTCGAAGATAAGGTGCAGATTTTGCCCATTCTTTTTTTTTTGGTTTTGATTTGATTTGATTTGATTTTTGTTTCTGGGTTGCTTCGAATCCGGAGTGTGCTCCTCGATCTCGAGGTGGTCGGCCAACGAGGGCACCGCACCTCTTGCATGTACGAGGTCGGAACTAGAACCAGATACGGCGAGTTTATAACCTTGGAATGGGCGAAAAATTCTTGCGTTACGCCAACGTTGGTAGCTAGAGTACTGTAGATTTAGATACTCGAGACTAGACTCCAGTACCACGATAGCATAGTCAAAGCATCACAGGGCAAGATTCGCAGGAAAAACAAAGTTAATTAGTTTTTTTTTTAAACAAAGCTAGTCAATGCGTGAATCGCGTATGTAGTCGAGATTCGAGACAGATCCTAGTTGACCCAACTTACGTACGGGGCTGTTCGGCTGGCTGGCCGGTGGCTGGCTGGCTGGGCAGCCCCCTCACGAATCACTGTTCACGTGAAAGTGGTGCTAGTTTTTTCTCTCATTTGGAGCGATTATTTTGGCTTATTTTTCAAGGTAGTCACATGGTGGACGTGCTCGTTTTCCAAGGTGCCAGGTGCTAATTGCAAATCGTCGTTCACATGGCCGAGGTTTTCATTTTCGGAAATTAAAATTTATCGAGGGTCACAGATAAAGAGGATAAACAGGATATATCGGAAATATCAGACCAAATTCAAATAAAATGTAATTTGAATTTAAGTAAATTTAAATAAATTTAAACAAAATTTGTACGAAAAAGATAGATATTATCTTATCGGCACCTACGGATAAAGAGGATAGCAAATCTGATACAAGGAATCAGAGTTCATCACCCAGAGATGCAGTGGAAATTTAGTACTGGCAGTCCATATATATGAGTTTGAGGTCAAGTCTTTCGGTCTTTGTGATGACACGAGCGAGGGACCTGGTAGCTAGGATCTGTTGGATAATTAGATAAGTTTATTTATGATTAATTTCAGAACATAAATCACCGAGAACATAGATACTATCATGTAAAACTCTAACATACTAGTTAAACTGGACATCAACAACATAAACAGCAGCATGGCGCAAACAACAAATGCATCGAAATAATAGATCAGATCACTTCATACATACTTCTTGTTTGCAGATGAGGATGTCGTGACTGGTGGACTAGTGGTGGAGGAGAGACAATGTTGTTGACTACATTAGCAAAGATGGGTCGAATCAGCCGGCGGATGAGACAATGGTATGCGGCACCGCCTGGCTTGGACGGAAGATAAATCGTCGTGGAGGTTGTGAGCAGCAGCATGAAGGTGCTTCCCAATAAACTTATTCGTTTTCTCCTAGTGCAGGATCGCAAGGGCGAACGGTTCTGGGTACCTGCTCACCCAATCACCGGTGCACAAAGACCCGGTATATGGAGAGACTACAACGGTAACAACAAAAAGGAAAAGAGGCAAACCCTAACTCGACTATATGTGTTTCTTGCAGGTGTCCCATAGATCGTTTATATTGGGATCTAAATCGATTAGGTTCCAATTCGCAGACTTAAAGATCAAGCAACCAAAAATTAAAATGCAAAAGGAGCCCACACTCCCACAAGGCCATGGGCCGAAAATCGGCGGACCATTCACGCAGGTGGCATGCGCCCATAGTGTCCTGGCCTAGTGAGGCAAGTGCACGCGTGTGGAGTTCACTTCTCTCTTCACGCACTTGACGTGAAGTGTAGAGGCTTTCCATATTTAAGCAAGCTATCCTCCATTTTCAGCTATGGTGGGATTAAAGTCCTAGTGTCGCACCACTTCCCCATGTACACACATGAGTACCCGATAAATGGATTTTTTTTTGGGACCAAGCCCATATATATTCCAACAATCTTCCACTAAATCTCAAATGCCCATTTAGTAATTTGCATGCTTCATCTAATGTTTAATATACTAGTGTTTCGACAGAGACCGCTAACTTAAATATCAACATAGAGTTTCCAACTACACCCATCCACAAACAATGGACTGGGTAAAAAAATAGCTCCAACTTCTCTAGGCTCCTTGTAGCCGTTTTTTATACGTCCTGTTTGACAGAGCTCCTTGCAAGAAGCTGGAAAAAAGCTGGAGCCCTGCCAAATAGGGGCCTTAAGTTAGACTAGGGTGGATGTGGACTTTAAATAGTTGGACCTTTATTGGATTGTTTTGATTTGCTCATGGATTTTATTTAGATCCATTGCCAGGTCTACTTACATGCCGGCCCGTGCCACATAACCTTGCCGACGTGAAGGGCGAACACAAACTTAAATGGGCCAGGCCATCTTGCGGCCTTTCCTGGCTGCTTCGTTCGTCGTCTCTCCCGTTGCCTGCCCTTGTTGGATTGGATCAAGCTGTGACTGTCCAGCCCGGATTAAGCCCAAGCGACGATGCGAATGCGATTGCAATTGCAAGTTGCAGTCCGCAGCCTCCCCCTCCTCCGCCCTCCTGTCGCCGGCGTCCGGCGCCCGTCGTCGATGTCGAGCCCCCGGGAGCGGAGGCTTCCGCCGCCCGCGTTCCGAATGGAGAACCCCTTCAGCGTGAAGGTGGTGCAGGTCTTCACCGGATTCGGCGTCGGATGCGGCGTCGGCATCGGCGTCGGACGACCCATCTACCTAGGTAATGAATTTTGCAGTACCTTATTCTCGTTTAGGCGACTGACATGGGTTCAGAGAAGTCGAATCGGTCATAGGTAGCTGGAGTATTCTTTGGGTTTGGCATTTCGTGGAACAGTTGACTGTCGAAGGGCTGTCTCCTCACTGACTCTGGTATTCCGTCGAACAGTTCGTGTTGTGTGTAAATTAATCGATAAAGCTATATATATTTTGAGATTGAGATTACTGCGTTTGGAAATATATAACTATATGGTTGATTCATGCTTGTAACTCTGGTACCTGCACGTCAAATGCAGTCTTGAGCTTGCTAAATTGCCTAGGGTGGTAGGGTAATGGATTAGTTTCATGATCAGCTTCTTGTCTAAGAGGTTAGTTTCTGTATTGATGGTCAGGTATGATACCTGGGCTTCAGCAAGTTATGAGTGCTACAAGAGGAGCAACAGATGCTTTTTCTGGTGTCACAAGGCATGTCAATTCCGTGGTAGGATAAAAGTAGCACTTTTCTGTGCCCACAAATGCACAATGTTAATCTGATCCTTTATTTGGTCCTTATCTGAGTGTGATATATCTCTGGTTTTGTGTTTTAGCTAAGGACGGCCGGGTTAAAGAACATCGAAGCTGGGATTGGCTGTGGAGTTGGTATAGGCCATGGTTTTGGAATAGGTATATGTTGCAGCTATTTCAAATAATTAACTCTGTAAATCTCTTTGTCCATGTTCTTATAAGAACTATCCTCGCTTATCTTCAATTATGATGCCTTGTCTCCAGTTCAGTTTCTTTTTACTTCTTTCCCTGTTAAGTCAGAGCAACAGTGTATACATGCCAGCATGTGGTTTTCTCGTCTATTCCTCCTAATAAAACTAATGCAGTACTTATGTAATTGTTCTTACATAGTGATCCTTTGGTTCATTTTCTGTGCCTCATTTGCGGTTCTGATCATTGCATGCATGTAGTTAGTTCATCTATCCTTTGAGCCTTACTCCAATACCTTTTTCATGATAACGGAGGAGACCGCCTTTTCATTTCTTGCAGCAAGCACTATCCATAAGTTGTGTGTATGACGATTTCTTCCACTGCTGCAATGCGTTCAGCTGGTTTTTACCACTTACCTTTTCCTGCACCTTTTCCTGCACCAAGTTGTGAAGTTGTTTCCTGTGAGATGAAGCAAAACTAATAAGTATCTCTTCAACTTTCAGGAATCGCATTGAAGCCACGAGTGCTTCATGGAATTCAGTCATCTGTTGGGGTACAAATATGAACTGTAGTTTGCCCCCAAATTTTCTCTCTTTCCATTTTTCAGTGCATTAACATTGACAGCATTAGTTTTTTCCCTAGGATATTATGTCTAAATTGACGTCAAAGCTCAAAGATACCCCTGAGATGCCGTCTTCATCAAATCCTATGGCTCATTCTTTGTCTAGCAATCAACAAACTCACAGTGGCATGTCCATGGATCTAGAGGCTAAGACTGCAGAAAGTAATTTGAACCACACTTCAAGTTATGAAATGTCAAGAGTACAATCTACTCAGCCAGAAGCATTGACTGCGAGTCGAACTGAAAAGGTCATTGCCAATTTTCTACAGAGTCCACTGTTCCAGAATGATACAAAGATGGACTTCAGAGATGCTGTACGCGCTAAAACATTCTTAAGCGTATTGTTTGTCCCATTGTAGCTTCAGCTATGTCTTTTGCTGCTCAAGTTGAATGAACGATTTTCTCTGTACAATTTTACAGCCTGGAAATCTACATGGAATGGATAGTGTACTTCAGCTGGTGAGTTCAGTCACTATTATGATGCTTGCTTGGCAATTCTAACCATTTTTCTTGAATTCTTGTGTTGTGTTTTACTCGTTCATCCCAATTTTAGCCTAAAATGTTCTGCCTCTTCCTTTTATAGCTACTAAAAGTTATCTTTACATGTAGGGAGACAGTAGAGAACCACTTGGTGGTTGGTTATTCTTTTTGGTCATATTGTATCTGTTAAGAATTAAGATTAGCTCACAACTCATTGTCTTTCCTAGCAAAATGCAAGCCTACTAATCGGTTCTGCATTTCTTGCATTTCCAGGTACTGAAGCACCAAAAGGTTATTGAGGAACTGCGGGAGGAAAATGAAAATTTGCGTCAGATTCTCATAGAGGAGCTTAAGGTTTCACCAACCAAATTACAAATAGGTCATAAAACTGGAGTGAAGGCCTACTATCCATGCTCGGACTGCTTTGAATGTCGCCGCAGAAGTCGAAAAACAACCAGATAGCAGTGGGCATCGGCTTTCTGCATTTTAGCAAAATTTTGATCGTTTATTCAGTAGCTTGCAGTAGTTGATTTCATTAGAACAATGTCCTCTTTGAGAATATGCAGATCAACTCTGATTGTTCAGTACAGTTGTCAGTAATGATATCCATTAGCCGTGTGTAACGTTTGCTCCTTCAATAGTTCAATTGATGCAGAACACATTGTTCTGATTCTGAAGTCTGAATGTACGAAGGACGACACAATGCTCTTATCGCCCTTCCATTACTTGTGCACAATTGTACTAATCTTGTAAGTGGAGTCAGGTGTTTATTCAGTGCTGTATGTATGCTACTCTGTGGAATACGTGGGGGGACTGCAAACTGCAGGGATATTTAAATATTTGCCAGTTGGCTCCTACTAACTTGCCAGCTTTAGAATATGAATTATAGATTTGCCATCTGAATTGCTCTGGTACTAAAGATTTGCCTATTTTGGACTCCTGGCAATACAGGTCATCATGCCACGGTGAATCAGCCAGGGAAAAAGACATTCATGCCCCTTAGGCTGTTAGGACGGCCAGCTCTAGCCAACCACCGTGCTCAAAAAAAAAAGCCACGTGCTCCAGCTCCAACCAGCCAACCAACGTGCTCTACATATATTTGCTACAGGAAGACAGTCTACAGTAAAAATTCGACATGATATATGCTAATCATGGTCACAAATTTGCATACATATATTAGTACATAAATTCGACAACCACTGTACATTAAAAATCAGCATCATCATGGCCACACATGAATTATACCAAATATATATATGAAATGTACCGTGCACAGCAAGCACATTAGCTAAAAGAGACCACTGATGTCTAAGTTTGGTCATAACAGCCATACATAGAATCATTAAACAGGTTCTAGGCGACACATAGCTAAAGCAATGGCCATTTAACAGATTCGACCAACAAAAGTACATAAGGTGCCATTTATCGTGTTCGGCCGACAAATATAGAGCACTAATGCCATTTAATGTGTTCTCACCACAATGCACACTAGGAATCCACAAAAGTCATTGTTTTTCATCTCCACGGTCTTGGCTTGTCTCATGTTTTCTTGATCTTGGAGGTCATTTGCTTCCTCCTGAGTCATCTTCTTGGGCACGGCCTCCACAACTTGTAGCTCTCCTTCGAAGAGGTTCATTTGCACCCAACAATAATCTCTGAAAAAATAGAAAGTGAGGGTGTTTACAAATGAACAAGCAGGTAATTGGATGTTTACAAAAATCCTAGTGATTATACCTCCTAGTGCTTGGACACGATGGGGTGCTTGGACACGATGGGGTTCCTAGAGTCGCTAGTTGAACCTCTATAGGCACAAGTTCAACAGGAGCTCTCTCATCGCCTTTCTGCCACTTCTCTGCTTGCTTCAGTGGCTTCCATAGCTTCTTTGAAGCTCTGAGTTGAGCTTCTTTCCGCCTCCGATTATCCTTTGTCCAAAACCCAAATTGACAATGTCCGCTTGGTCCCCATATAATCTTTGTAGCCATTTTATCATGAAACTAAGCTAGATTGTACCCAACACTCCTATCTAGCCACAACTCATGTTCTTGGTCAACAATTTCAACAAGCCCATCATATTCAAGCACAACAGTGTACTTAACGATTTTAACAACTAGTCTAAATACATTGCTAGGTTCGATCCTGGCATTAATGTAAACATAAAAACATTGCATTGTTAGCCAAGTACTCCATGTAACTTTCGGTCAAGCTGTATTCGCCCCTACGGTGAAAATATAGAGACTCACCAAGGGGGCACCATCAGTTCCATGATCACAGATCAAGATCCAAAGACTGCTACATCACCCACCTACAAACCAAAATTGCAAGAAAATCAACGTTCAACCCTAACCCTAGCTCGGTAAACGAAGGCAAAATAAGAGGGCCAGCCGAGGGGGGGGGTGGGGGTGCGTGGTCAAACCTGCTTGGGTTAGGGGGTTGTGGAGGTGCAGATCGGGTCAACTTCCGGCCATCGTCTCATGCACCCACCTCACCTCGCGCCCGCCAGTGGCTGCGGCAAATGAGAGAGGGGCGCGGGAGAAGAAACGGGAAGAGAGAGATGCAGGCGACCGTGAAACGGGAGAGGAGGAGGATTCGGGACGGACGAAGGGCTCGGCGCGGTCATGGGGCTTCTCCTCGCGCCGTCGTGGGATTTCAGGCGATCATGAAGTGACTGCTCCCCTTCTCGTCATGGATGGAGAACGGGGGAAGGGGACGACTCGAGAGGCGACAGGCCCGGGATGAGAAAAATAGAGTGGAGGATAGGGAGGTCTTTTTCCCAAGCCAATCCACCGTGGCACCTGAGGTGTACTGCCACGACGTTAAAACGGGCAAATCTGTAGCACCATCGTGATTTGGGTGGCAAATCTATAATTGTCGTTCTAAAGCTGGCAAGTCCGTAGGAGCCAATCGTAAGGGTGGCAAATATATAAATATCCCCAAACTGCAAGCTTGCAACTTCAAGGATTGGCTCTTGAACTACTTCAACAGTATTTTTCAGCGAACGGACATTATTTTTTTCTCACACCAAATCAGCATAAGCATCAACATAAGCCAAATTTCAACGAAATGAACAGGGCCAGAAAACACACATTTTACCAATCAGAGTCGTGTGGGTCCCATGCGTAAGCGCCTCATTCAGAGTCATGTGGGTCCCATGCGTAAGCGCCTCGATAGGGTTCGTAAGCGCCTCGATAGGGTTCGCCCCGAGATGGAAAGCTCGCGCCTCATTCAGAGTCATGTGGGTCCCATGCGTAAGCGCCTCGATAGGGTTCGCCCGCTGGAGTTGTGTGTACACTAGCTGTGTGGGACCGTAACAATTACGAGCCCGAGATGGAAAGCTCGGGCGGGAAACGGCACGCGTTCGCACCGCACTGGCATCCGCCGCTCCCAAAACTCCACTAGCGCACAAATTTTCCCGCCTCCCGTTGCCCTTCGATCCACAAAACTCAACAACTCTGAGGACCAAATCGCAAAAGCATATTCCCCACTAGTGGAACAGAAGAAGCAAGCGAGAGAAGAACACAGCTCCAAGCCAAACCTCGCCGGCTTCCGCCTCCATTCCATGCCTAGCCAATCAGATCCACGCGCCTCGCCCTCTACGATGGACTCCGGCGGGGGTTCCTCGGCCGAGGTGGAGATGGCCTGGCACCTTCTCACCGTGCTCATACGCCTCGGCCGCCCCGCCGCCCCCTCGGAACTCGCCGCCGCCGCAGCGCCCTCCATCTCGACGCGCGTCGTCGAGCAGATGGGTTGCTTACCTAGGTCGCCACTATGGATCTCTGACGACGGCGTCGTGACGCCCTCCGAGACAGCCGTCCTGGCGTTTCTGAGGTTCATGGGGTGGGATATCCCGGGGCCTAAGGTGAGCCTGAGACCTTCGGAGGTGAGGCGGTGCTTGGGTAAGACGTCGATTACGTATGAGCGTAAGCGGCAAGGGTTGGATGCAAGGTGCTTCAGCGCGAAGAGGCGCCGACTACTGGCACCGGACGCAGGTAGTTTAATTTCTTAGAGAGGAGATTCACTTTTCCGTGCTGTATGTATGCTGGTTCTCGAGGGCTATCCGTTTTTTCTGAGCTCAATTCGGGAACATTTATGCAGTTTTGGTGGACCAAACGGAGCATCAGTCGTGTCAGCTGGTTGCACAGACCTGTACTACGGTTGGGACGGTTGCTACTGGAGAGGTACGATGTCTCATCCCTGTTGTATGATTGTTATTCCATTAGCATGCCCTAAATCAAAGATCTCGAAGATCCAAATCCCCAACAGATTGCCAATCTAGCCCTATCTGCTTTCATTTGCTTGTAGTTAGTTTGATTGTGCATTTGAAATCCTTCCATTTTGTTTCCTTTTATAGGCCATCTGCACAAAATATTAGGGATATTTGGCTCTCTGTCCCATAGTGCTTACTGGTTTTCGTCAGTAGGCCGTCACAATTTCGGAGTGGCGTGGTCCATCAGTAGAGTAAATGACATGGGTGATAGCTTGAAGTGAATTTTTGGCCTCTCAATCTTCAAGGCATCATTTTCTTTCTGGTTTTGGTTGACATTAGTTGAGTTGAAATTTGTAGTTGTAAGCTTAAATACTAATTGGGACACACATTTTAATAAGGATAATGATGATAAAATTTCTGTGCAGTATTTTCACATCCATAATAGTTTGTGCACATCCAACATGTTTTGTCATATCTGACTCAGGTACATTTGGAGGTTATGCAAAAGTTGAAGGATAGGCTTCCCACTCTCGGCACATTTCTCGGTGAACCTTCCTTGGGGTTCTCAACTGCGGTTGCTCTTGCTCCCAATATTGCTAAAATTACCATGCTTTGTCTTCAGCCCAAACTTGACCAGCCTCTTAGAGGTGATAATGGCACAGTTATTGGGAACATGTCTTTAGCACTGGTGCCAACAGGTTTTTCAGATTGCCCTTGTTCTGTCAATCTTCCTCCACTGGATGCTGAGAAATCGAAAAGCACTAATGTGGAAGTTGATGGTAAAAGTAACAAGATTAGTGAATCTGAACAAGTTTCCTTACTTAACTGTAGAGTAGAGGATAGTGATGATATACAAAAAGAGTCTGTCCTTCCCATGTCCAGTCATGATGTTTTAGTTGGAGAAAGCAAAAATAGGGCTGATGAAGATCTAAATCTTGTTTGCAAAAATCATGGCAGTCTGATTAATCATAATACAAAAACAGCTGATAGTATTGAAGCATTTGATATGATTCTCAGCCAAGCAGATGGTCTACAATACAATTGCCTAAATGATGGGCATCATCAGAATGCCCCAAGTTGTGTTCAGGAAGAAAATCCACTTGGTGCTAGTGCATATGCAGAAGTTTTCACGGATAAGACAACGCAAATTTTGTTCCAGCCTTCTATGGACAACAAAGCTGGATCTATAGCACCTCAAATGAACAGAAATGTTCAATCTGAAACATTACCGCAAGAAACTACAAGGCAAGATGGCATG